ACATGAGTGACATACAACATTATATGTGTGGGTCAGTTTTAAATGTGTTAAACAAAGGTTTGAGGGTTACACAGTTACATACACAGCAGAGCTTAATGAAAGATGGAATTTGTTTCATAAATCAGAAAATGTTAAAATCAGAAGCTACACTTTTTCAGGACAAATTTCCATTTGTCTTCAACTGGAAATTTCCTTGGCCAAGCAACATAGAATTCAGATCTTGGGGTTTAGCTTCACTCTTACATGGTTGAACCCTGTATGTCCTCTCATTTTGTGTAACACTGAAATCAGAACAAAACTCCCACCTGCGCAGAGTACACCGGGTACACAGCAAAAATGGGGAGCAACCTCCCTGCTACCCGCACCCGGGGAAGCCAGCGTGGGCTGCTGGGACATCCAACACCCCCTCGGAATTCATTTTTTACGATGAGGGTGGTGAAACACTGGAACGGGTTGCCCAGAGAGGTGGTAGATGCCCCATCCCTGGAAACATTCACGGTCACGTTGGACAGGGCTCTGAGCAACCTGATCTAGTTGAAGATGTCCCTGCCCATTGCAGGGGGGTTGGACTAGATGACCTTTAAAGGTCTCTTCCAACCCAAACCATTCTATGATTCTATAACTATGATTCCTCACCCACGGCCGGGCAGGCGGCACCGGTTGAGGGCCAGCAGCACCCTTCTGCCAGGAGAGAATAAGGAAAAGCGGCCGGAGGAGGGTTCCCGCTGAAGAACAAGCCTGGGCCGGAGCAGCCGAGGCCGGGCAAGGCCCGGGAGGAGAGGTGCGTTTCGCCCTCAGGGCCCTGAGCTCGCCTGGGCACCGGCGAGATCCCGGCGCCGCGTCGGCGGGACCCTGGGGCTGGGTCTCTGTGTGCTGGGGGCCTTGCACAGGCCCGAGGGGTTTGTGACCGGGGGCTGGAGCCGAGGGCACCGCGAGGCCGCCCGCGCCCCTCTCCTTCCCCACAGGCAGCTGGTCCCCGGTACTGTCACCCCGGCGGGGGACCC